TCCTTGTGTAGATGCGAGGTACCATCATGCATACAGGACATCACATCCTTGTGTAGATGCGAGGTACCATCATGTATACAGGACATCACATCCTTGTGTAGATGCGAGATACCATCATGTATACAGGACATCACACCCTTGTGTAGATGGGTGATACCATCATGTACAGGACATTACATCTTTGTGTAGATGCAAGATACCATCATGTATACAGGACATTACATCCTTGTGTAGATGCAAGATACCATCATGTATACGGGACATCACATCCTTGTGTAGATGCGAGATACCATCATGTATACAGGACATTACATCCTTGTGTAGATGCAAGATACCATCATGTATACAGGACATCACATCCTTGTGCAGATGCAAGATACCATCATGTACAGGACATCACATCCTCGTGTAGATGCGAGATACCATCATGTATACAGGACATCACATCCTTGTGTAGATGCGAGATACCATCATGTATACAGGACATCACATCCTTGTGTAGATGCAAGATACCATCAGGTATACTGGACATCACATCCTTGTGTAGATGCGAGATACCATCATGTATACAGGACATTACATCCTTGTGTAGATGCAAGATACCATCATGTATACAGGATATCACATCCTTGTGTAGATGCGAGATACCATCATGTATACAGGACATCACATCCTTGTGTAGATGCGAGATACCATCATGTATACAGGACATCACATCCTTGTGTAGATGCGAGATACCATCATGTATACAGGACATCACATCCTTGTGTAGATGCGAGTTACCATCATGTATACAGGACATTACATCCGTGTGTAGATGCGAGATACAATCATGTATACAGGACATCACATCCTCGTATAGATGCGAGGTACCATCGTGTATACAGGACATCACATCCTTGTGTAGATGCGAGTTACCATCATGTATACAGGACATCACATCCTTGTGTAGATGCGAGATACCATCATGTATACAGGACATCACATCCTTGTGTAGATGCGAGATACCATCATGTATACAGGACATCACATCCTTGTGTAGATGCGAGATACCATCATGTATACAGGACATCACATCCTTGTGTAGATGCGAGATACCATCATGTATACAGGACATCACATCCTTGTGTAGATGCGAGATACCATCATGTATACAGGACATCACATCCGTGTGTAAGTGCAAGATACATCATGTATACAGGACATCACATCCTTGTGTAGATACAAGATACCAGGATGTATACAGGACATCACATCCTTGTGTAGATGCAAGATACCATCATGTATACAGGACATCACATCCTTGTGTAGATGCGAGATACCATCATGTATACAGGACATTACATCCTTGTGTAGATGCGAGATACCATCATGTATACAGGACATCACATCATTGTGAAGATGCAAGATACCATCATGTATACAGGACATTACATCCTCGTGTAGATGCGAGATACCATCATGTATACTGGACATCACATCCTTGTGTAGATGCAAGATACCATCATGTATACAGGACATTACATCCTTGTGTAGATGCAAGATACAATCATGTACAGGACATCACATCATTGTGTAGATGCAAGATACCATCATGTATACATGACATTACATCCTTGTGTAGATGCAAGATACCATCATGTATACAGGACATTACATCCTTGTGTAGATGCAAGATACCATCATGTGTACAGGACATCACATCCTTGTGTAGATGCAAGATACCATCATGTATACATGACATTACATCCTTGTGTAGATGCGAGATACCATCATGTATACAGGACATTACATCCTTGTGTAGATGCGAGATGCCATCATGTATACAGGACATTACATCCTTGTGGACATACGAGATACGATCATGTTCAGGACAATGCAGCCTTGTGAAGATGAAGGACACCATCATATACAGGACAGTGCAGCCTTGTGTATACACGGGACACCATCATATTAGGACAATGCAGCCTTGTGAAGATGAAGGACACCATCATATACAGGACAGTGCAGCCTTGTGTAGATGCAGGACACCATCATGTACAGGATAATGCAGCCTTGTGTAGATGCAGGACACCATAATATTAGAACAATGCAGCCTTGTGTAGATGCAGGACACCATCATATTAGAACAATGCAGCCTTGTGTATATACGAGATACCATCATGTACAGGTCAATACTAACACAGATCCTGAGGATCACACTCTTGAGGTAAGCAAGAGAAGATGTATCTGTTTAATGGAAATAACATCGTTTAAGGAAGACACAACGTTCACACAAAAGCTATCAGATTCCGTGACAGTGGCCATAAAACTGCATCATAATCGAGAGGCTCTCAAATAAATCGTTCTGTCGGGCGTTAACTATGTCATTAAATTGACGTGTATATTGGAGTAACTGGTGGGGCTCGCTGCCTTCTCTAGACACAGTATTTAGCCCTGGGCGGTAAATGGTTTAGATCCAATTGTAGCTCTAAATTAAGCCAATGTCAGGAAATCGGACGTTATTCAGAGTGATCGTCTCGAGTGTTCTCAGATAACTGATTTCAATTACATCTTCAAACACCAGTTTGTGTTGGTCTGCGTGGTTCATGTTGCCCCAGCCGGCCGGCCCTCAAACCCCCTCCCCTCGTCTCCACGTGTGGGGTTACTCTGTGCCTACACACATTCCCTGGCCGTTTGTAGCTTCCGTCATCACAACACTGACACGACACAAGGGAGAAGACGACGCCTTTCACTTCCGGGACAACAAACAGGAAGTGGTGTTTTCCGGGGCGGAATTGCTACAAACTATGCTCTGTTCGCAGACGTGCTCAAGCTAGAGTCCAGGGTTTATTAACGCGTCTGGTCAGCTGGCTAGATCTCTAGCCTGACTGCCTTGTTTCTGACAACTAGTCGTCACGTGATCACAGGGCGCAACTAATATCCTCCTGTAAACTGACACACAACTGACCTGAATAAGTCATCTATTGACCCCTGTTGATTGACAGGATATCTCTTTGTTGATCAGACCATCGATTACCACCCATTCAATAACTTCCGCTTTCATGCACTGTCTGTTGGTAGTTGGGTCAAAACAAATGAGCTTGTAACATCCTTCTGACAACCTCCTTCCAGTCCCCAGTAAACTTGTTACATCCTTCTGACAACCTCCTTCCAGTCCCCTGTAAACTTGTTACATCCGTCATACAACCTCCTTCCAGTAATCATTGAGCTTGTTACTCCCTTTTGAAACCTCCTTCCAGTCCCAAGTAAACTTGTTACATCCGTCATACAACCTCCTTCCAGTAATCAGTGAGCTTGTTACATCCGTCTTACAACCTCCTTCCAGTAATCAGTGAGCTTGTTACATCCGTCTTACAACCTCCTTCCAGTAATCAGTGAGCTTGTTACATCCGTCTTACAACCTCCTTCCAGTAATCAGTGAGCTTGTTACATCCGTCCTACTACCTCCTTCAAGTAATCAGTGAGCTTGTTACATCCGTCTTACAACCTCCTTCAAGTAATCAGTGAGCTTGTTACATCCGTCTTACAACCTCCTTCAAGTAATCAGTGAGCTTGTTACATCCGTCTTACAACCTCCTTCAAGTAATCAGTGAGCTTGTCACATCCGTCTTACAACCTGCTTCCAGTAATCAGTGAGCTTGTCACATCCGTCATACAACCTCCTTCCAGTAATCAGTGAGCTTGTTACATCCGTCTTACAACCTCCTTCAAGTAATCAGTGAGCTTGTCACATCCGTCTTACAACCTCCTTCCAGTAATCAGTGAGCTTGTTACATCCGTCTTACAACCTCCTTCCAGTAATCAGTGAGCTTGTTACATCCGTCTTACAACCTCCTTCCAGTAATCAGTGAGCTTGTCACATCCGTCTTACAACCTCCTTCCAGTAATCAGTGAGCTTGTCACATCCGTCTTACAACCTCCTTCCAGTAATCAGTGAGCTTGTCACATCCGTCTTACAACCTCCTTCCAGTAATCAGTGAGCTTGTCACATCCGTCTTACAACCTCCTTCCAGTAATCAGTGAGCTTGTTACATCCGTCATACAACCTCCTTCCAGTAATCAGTGAGCTTGTTACATCCGTCTTACAACCTCCTTCAAGTAATCAGTGAGCTTGTCACATCCGTCTTACAACCTCCTTCAAGTAATCAGTGAGCTTGTTACATCCGTCTTACAACCTACTTCCAGTAATCAGTGAGCTTGTTACATCCGATTTACAACCTCCTTCCAGTAATCAGTGAGCTTGTTTCATCCGTTTTACAACCTCCTTCCAGTAATCAGTGAGCTTGTTACATCCGTCTTACCACTCCTCCCACTCCACCCACTCCATCTGCTCCACCTACAACACCTACTCCACCTACAACAACCGCTCCAGCCACAACACCCACTCCATCCACGACACCCTCGACACCTACATCACCCACAATACACACAACACCTACTCCATCCACAACACCCACTACAGCCACTCCTCCCACTCCACCCACAAGACCCAATCCACCCACTTCATCTACATCACCCACAGCATCCACTCCACCTACAACACCCACTCCACCCACTCCACCAATTCCACCTACAAGACTCATTCCACCTACAATACCAACAACACCCATTCCACCCATACCACCCACTCCAAACACAACATCCACTTCATCCGCTCCACCCATAACACCCACTCCAGCAACTTCATCCGCTCAATCCACAACACCCACTCCACCAACTCCGTCCACTCCAGTCACTCCACCCAATTAACCCAATCAACCCACTCCTCCCACTCCTCCCACAACCCATACTCCGACCACTCCACCCACTCAATCCACTCAACCCACTTCACCAACTTCATCCGCTCCATCCACAACACCCACTCCACCAACTTCGACCACTCCACCCACTCCACCCAATCAACCCAATCAACCCACTCCTCCCACTCCTCCCACAACCCATACTCCGACCACTCCACCCACTCAATCCACTCAACCCACTCCACCAACTTCATCCGCTCAATCCACAACACCAACTCCACCCACTCCACCCACTCCGACCACTCCACCCACTCCACCCACTCCACCCACTCCACCAACTCCACCTACTCCACCCACTCCACCCAATCCACCCACTCCACCTACTCCACCCACTCCACCAACTCCGACCACTCCACCCACTCCACCCACTCCGACCACTCCACCCACTCCACCCACTCCACCTACTCCACCCACTCCACCAACTCCACCTACTCCACCCACTCCACCCAATCCACCCACTCCACCTACTCCACCCACTCCACCAACTCCGACCACTCAACCCACAACACCCACTCCACCAACTACAGCAACTCAACCCACTTCATCCGCTCCACCCACAACACCCACTCCTCCCATTTCACCCACTCAACCCATTCAACCCACTTCATCCGCTCCACTCACAACACCCACTCCACCCACTCCACCCACAACACACACTTCATCCGCTCTACTCACTCTACCCACTCCACCCACTCCACCCACAACACACACTCAACCCACTCCACCAACAACACCCACTTCATCCGCTCTACTCACAACACCCACTCCACCCACTCCACCCACAACACACACTCAACCCACTCCACCAACAACACCCACTTCATCCGCTCTACTCACTCTACCCACTCCACCCACCTTATCCGCTCCACCCACTCCGACCACCCCACCCACGCCACCCACTTTATCCGCTCCACCCACAAGACCCACTCCACCAACTCTACCCACTCTACCCACTCCACCAACTCCACCAACAACACCCACGACACCCACGACACCCACGACACCCACGACACCCACATCACCCACTCCACCTACTACGCCCACGACAAATACTTTATCCGTTCCAACCACAACACCCACAGCACTCACTCCACCCAGTCAACCTACATCACCAACATCACCAACAACACCCTCTCCACCCACAACACCCATTCCACCCACTCCACACGCTCCACCCACTTCACCCACTCCAATCACATCACTAACTCCACTCACTCCACCCACAATACCCACCCCACCCATCCCATCTACAGCACTCACTCCACCCATTCCATCCGCTCCACCCACTCCACCAACAACACCCTTTCCACCAGCTCCATTTACAACACCGACTCCACCAACTCCGACCACTCCACCCACAACACCCACAACACCCACTCCACCACCTCCACCCTAAAAACACCCTTTCTACCCGTTCCACTTACAACACCCACTCCACCAACTCCGACTAGTCCCCCACATCCACCCACTATACCCACTCCTCCCACTTCTCTCACAACACCCACTCCGACCACTCCACCCACTCAACCCACCCAACCCACTCCACCAACAACACCCACTGCATCCGCTCCACCTATTCCACCCGCTCCATACACTCCACCCACAATACCCAGCCCACCCATCCCATCTACAGCACTCACTCCACCCACTCCATCCGCTCCACCCACTCCACCCACAACACACACTACATCCACAACACCTACTCCACCTACAACACCTACAACATCCACAACACCCACACCATGTGTCCACGAGTCACGAGTCCCCCACAGTTTCCCCACCTCACTACGACAGTCACCTCTCCGCAGCAAGACCTACTTCCATCACCCTCTTTACGCCAGGAAGAAACACGACTATAAACTTGTAAGTTAAACTTTATTCTTACAGACTCTTCGAGAGCGTCAGTTGCTCGTGAAATACTTCATTAAACAAGGGTTTCCCAAAAAGCATAATGACAAATGCCTACTTGGACCATGGCGATGTAATGAGGAGAATGTGTTGGTTCTATCATTGTCTGTATGGCGAAACTGGAGACTCTTCACATCTGAGACATACCGGACGCACTGATGTCAGATCACAGAGCACGGCGCTCCCGCCATCGCACTCAAAGTGGAGTGTTCAGACTGTTGAAACTATTGCCCTTGAAGCTACATTTAAACACTACATGTGCATTTTTGTTAAATGTAACTCAGTCCAGAAATGTAGATTATGCACATCCATCTATTTCATCTAGCTGCATGTTACGCATACCGTTGGCTAACAACGTATATTGTCATACGCGCCGTGATTTAGCAACTCTTGTAAACGCCCTCCACCACCAGCTACAGTTTCTTCAATGTTGAAGGTACCACAGAAGGTTTGGATACAGCCCACATCAGGTCTGAGCCATGACATGCAAACAAGTCTGTAACGGGATATAGTAGCCCAGTGACTGATGTGAAACATAATATCAGTGTGTCAAACACAGCAAAGTGCCCCAGTGTGTAACTTTCAAGTAACACTCATCAAAGTGTCGCGGGGTATGTCCCACTTTAATACGTCCAGTGTCATACTTAATTAAATGACGTCATATTGCTTCTGGACCTTAAGAGGGTCACTGCCCAAATATGTAAAATCCTATGTTCATATCACCTTAAATAAGGGGCGGTCCGGTAGCCTGGTGGTTAAAACGTTCGCTCGTCACCCCGAGGATCCGGGTTTCATTCCCGACATTGGTACAATGTGTGAAGCCAATTTCTGGTGTGCCCCGCCGTGATATTGCGGGAATATTGCTAAAAGCGGCGTAAAACTATACTCACTCTCTCATCACGACCTTAAGCTATATTCAACTGAGGATAAGAGCGACTCATTTCACCACCTGATTTGGCCCCAGCAACCCATGCTTGTCTTAAGAGGCGACTATGTCATCGTATCCCAATTGTGAGGATCGACTGCGACCAAATGTCACTGGATTGTCTGTTTCAGGCAAGGTTATTTACAGACCGCCGTCATGTAGCTGGAATATTGCTTAGTGCAGCGTTAAACAAGAAACAAACAAACCACCTGATATGTATGGAATACCGTAAGGGATATTGTCGCGATCTCAACCTTTGGAAACGAGTTAAATATGCCAAAAGTGGGAGAACGCGATATCGCTAGAAAATGAAATGTCGCATTCTCCCGCTCTCGCTATTTCGTGTTTTGTGGCCTAATTTGCCAAGTCAAGATTGCGAGATTGCCAGATTTTACATCATGGCTAACAGTCGCATTCTTGAGTTGTCGACTTTTGACCAAAAGAGCTATGTACCAAAAACACGAGAATGCGAGATCGCGAGAACTCAGATTTTGGGCAAATCTCGCGTTCTCGCACTTTGGGCATATTTAACTCGTTTCCCAAGATCGAGATCGCGAGAATGTCCCTTACAATATTCCATAGATATGAGGTGCGCATTGACGATTAACCGATTTAAGCATTGTGGCGCATTTGCAACAAGTAAATTAGCGGAGGAGATACGGTCAAAGTAATTAGACACATTCATGTCGGTTGCAGTTGTTACCCCTGTCGTTTGTGACGTCATGGGTGACAAGACAACAGTATGATGCATTCATTCACATCTTAACGGCATATGCATGACTGCATTGGACTCGATAACGGGCTTCGTTTCGGTTTAAGGTGAGGATCAGAAAACAGTATTGCTGAGAAGTGCCACAAGCGCGCGCTCATAAACTATGCACGGTAAAGTGTGTGCATTAACTAAATAGATACTTACGCTGTAAGATGAAAGGATCAGTGCAGCATCAGAGGTTAAGGACGAGTTATTACACTTGATTTCTCCACCATTACAGGTGAGAGGCTGCTGCGGTGTTTATGTGGGTCGGTGTCAGGCACAACACTTAGGAAAATAGTCAACGTATCTCATCCATGAAAAATATACGTCGGCTTTTAGAACGGCCCCATGACTATTTAATGGGTGATTAACTTGATGTCAACAACAAAACAGTTCTCATGAGAGCTTTTGTTCGTATCTCTATTACATGGTCATGTAACATATGTTCATCATCGTCGACGAGGTAGAAGCTAGCGGTGTGTAAATAGAAGGATACGCCCTGAAGCCCCGTTGTGAATTTAATTAATATCAACATCACTAAATTTTATTGAATCTGAAAACATTCCCGACTTTTAAATCAAATCAGTGGAGTGAGCGAGTATGGTTTTACGCCGCTTTTAGCAATATTCCAGAAATATCATGGCGGGGGTACCAGAAATGGGCTTCAGTCATTGTACTTCGTCGTGACGAGAAAACGTTTTAACCACCCCCAAATCAGTTGACCTTTCTCACCAACCAGTAGTTTTTGCAAAGTTAAGTGCATGGAAGTTTCATGTCGCAACATGCTCGCACCACGCACTGATACCTATCAAGGTGCATTATTATCATGTACATAACCGCAGCCCATTTTAAACAGAAACCGTGGGTTGTGTACGGAGCTGAGCAGGAGAAAACAGACGCTTCTGTCTCCAGCGTTGCTTCCGCTGCCGTAGTCGATGGTGTTGGTGATGAGCCTTATACACCATACAGACGCAGACGTTTAGTTTGTCAGCGTCGTCTGTCCGCGGGGGAGAAGTATCGCTGGTCGCCATCATATCCAGCATCTGTACCCGTTATGAGATGCTGCTACAGAGCATCCCCCTCCCACTGGGCGGCGTTGTGCGACGTGCAGGTTTTATCTCTAATGTGGAATGTATAACAAGCTACCAATTACACGCTTCCTTCTGTCGTCCGGAATTACGTCCTGTAAAAAGAATAGAAGATAGAACCAAGGTTCTCAGGAAACATGCCCTTCGTTTGACGTATGACTTATGAGCGAGTCTCACGAAGGTCTTCCTGACCATATGCATGCTGTGTGGCGTGTGCCGAGTTGTTACGAACTCTGACGCGACGTTTGTTCTCAGATGCGTAATGAGTTGTCAATGTACCCCCGCGTGGTATGTTCTTACAAACATTGACGTCGTGATGTGGGATAAGTTCACAAGACCTTTAATGCGGAATAAGTTCGCAAGAACCTTGGTGTAGGATAGATTCACAAGAACAAGGGTGTAAGATATGTTCACAAGAACCATACTGTGGGTAGATTCACAAGAACCAGGTTGTAAGATAAGTTCACAAGAACTTTGCTGTAGGATAAGTTCAAAAGAAACATGGTGTAGGATAGATTCACAAGAACCAGGGTGTAAGATATGTTCACAAGAACCATACTGTGGGTAGATTCACAAGAACCAGGTTGTAAGATAAGTTCACAAGAACTTTGCTGTAGGATAAGTTCACAAGAAACATGGTGTGGCATAAATTCATAAGAACCTTAGTTCGGGATAAATTCACAAGGACCATGTTGTGGGTCACGTTCGCAAGAACCACACTGTAGGTATGTTCACAAGAATCATGGTGTGGGATGAGTTCAGAAGAACTCAGCTATGGGATAAGTTCACAAGAACCATGGTGTGGCATAAATTCATAGAACCTTAGTTCGGTATAAATTCACAATAACCATGTTGCGGGGTACGTTCACAAGACCCACGGAGAAAGATAAATTCTCAAGAATCATAATCTTGGATAAATTCACAGGAACCATGATGTGAGATAAGTGCAAAAGAACTTTGCCATGGGATAAGTTCACAAGCACCATGGTGTGGGATAAGTTCACAAGAACTGTGGTGTAGGATAGGTTCACAAGAACCATGTTGTGGCATAAGTTTACAGGAGCCTTGCTGTAGGATAAGTTTACAAGGATCTTGCTGTGGTACGACTTCATGAACCAAGGTCTGGGATAAGTTGACAAGAACCTTTGTGTGTGTATGTTCTTCTGCACTGTTTCACCAACTCATAACGTGCGGTAAGTTCTTAATGATGAACGTACAAAGCGTACGAGAGATACTATCTCACAAGTCTTGACCGGTGATAATTTCTGACATTACATGGCGGATGATAATCTCTCAGAGTCGTGACGGGCGATACTTGCGTATGAACCATAACTGAACTGGGCTCCTGGCAACCCCAACTTGTGACACAGGAAGTAAAGTATATGCCTCTGCCTCCTTTAATGGCGGTAATGTCAAATACGTCCCCTGTTTTGATTGTTGCTGTTTTATCCATAGTCACAAATCGTTGCAAGAACCTTTCCAAATCAGCTTCAAACAGTTTATTTATGACGAAACATGTTGTGCCTGGTGTATTTTTTTATCAGATGTCAGAAACTTTGGAACCCAACAAGGGGATACTTTCCTCATTGCCATTGTATATGTGATAATGGAATGAACTCTCCTGGGAGGTACCTACTGAAACTAGCAATATGACGCTGTGTCATTCGCCGGTCGGCCATTACCATATCGGTGATTCGCTGGATTATTTCTCGTGATGCTGACGTCACAGGCCTTTCAGGACAGGGTTCGTCTTCAAGGAAATCCATGCCACGCTGAAACTCTGCTGTCGGCATTTACGGAAGCACAGGAGGGGCATCCTTCCCCCGTGTTGTACTCATATCTCCACGGATAGCTATTTGTTCTTTGTGTGGCTCAGAACATATCAGCCAACGCTCGTACATACATGCACAGATACTTATGTTACTTAGGATATATCGGACCACATTCTCGAACCTGTGAAAACAATAGTGAATCAAATAAGTTTACGACGACAGATGCATCTAAATCCTCCAGGAGTGACACACAAACACAGCAGTTGTTCCTGTTCGTTAGACGTACCTGAACTGGCAATATAACAACGCGGGAGTAGGTGTATTGAACACGTCAAACCTCGACAAGGCTTTTATTTCCCTAATTTACTGCTATAAGAAACAACTGACTGTCACTGTGCGCAGCTGTAAACAAAGATAATTAATTCTCTATTCCTGGTCCGTGAATGCAATGTGCATCGCCCTCCTGCAGGTTTAGAACGTCGAAGCTTTAGCCAGTGGAGTTTTAAAACAGGGATTTTTTTGTAATTGGAGTTCAGAACTAGAGCATCTGGGAATTCCAACATGCCAATAAACCAAGCAGCAACCCGAGCTGAAAACAATCACCAACAATTTGAAACATAAATATCTGAAGTGAGAGAAGAAAGCCATTTCCTACTGCTTTGTAATCGTTGCTCGGTCGCGTGGCCAGCGCCGCCGGCATGAATGTGTCTGTTGAAATGTACTGCAACGGGGATTTAAACACGGCATTGCACCCACAATTAACAGCTGAATAGACGGTTTCACACTGGTCGCAATAAACCCATGACACTAACAGGACTGGAGATAAACATAAAGCACGGTGAGGTGAGGTGAGTATTTCAGGGGGAGGTAACTCAAGGTGCAATATGTATACATAGTATCAGGGAGACATATATTCTGCATGTATACACAACAGAGAGACATATTTTCTGTATGTATACACAACAGAAACATATATTCTGTATGTATACAGTGTAAGAGAGACATATATTCTGTATGTATACAAAACAGAGATACATATTCTGTATGTATACACAACAGAGATACATATTCTGTATGTATGCACAGCAGAGAGACATATATTCTGTATGTATACACAACAGAGAGACATATATTCTGTATGTATACACAACAGAAACATATATTCTGTATGTATACAGTGTAAGAGAGACATATATTCTGTATGTATACACAACAGAGATACATATTCTGTATGTATAAACAACAGAGATACATATCCTGTATGTATGCACAGCAGAGAGACATATATTCTGTATGTATACACAACAGAGAGACACATATTCTGTATGTATACACGGCGGCAGAGACACATATATATTCTGTATGTATACACAGCAGAGAGACATTTATTCTGTATGTATACACGGCGGTAGAGAGACATATATTCTGTATGTATACACAACAGAGAGACATATATTCTGTATGTATACACGGCGGTAGAGAGACATATATTCTGTATGTATACACAGCAGAGAGACATATATTCTGTATGTATACACAGCAGAGAGACACATATTCTGTATGTGTACCCAGTGGCAGAGAGACATAATCATCATAATCATGTACTTCGACAGTGGTAGTGACCTGTATATACACTGAAGGTTACAGAGAGACACACAGCTATTCTTTGGGACGTCCACTAGATTCTTTCGGGGGAGGGGTGTTTAAATGAATAGTTTGTTCAGAAATATGCCCAAAATGAAAAGCTTGTTGGCGGGAGTAAAAAAATTAATAGTTTGTTTTGTGGACAAAATGAATAGATTGTTTGATGGAGCTCAGTAAATAAATAGTTTTTTAGCTTCAGCTGGGAAACAAACAGATTGTTCTTAAAATATGTCCCCCTCCCGCTCCCATACAAATGAAATGGTACATATACTGTTGATGAGACAAAACAAGCGTCCGTGTCTTCCTAGCCTGTGAAGAAAGGAACCACAGTGTAGAGATTCACTGTCAAGTCCGACCACACATGAAGAGGACACTGCAGAGACCAAGATGCCACTCTCGAGATGTACCAACCCTGTCCGTGGAGACACCACAGCGCCACCCTTGAGCACCATCTTACCCTGGTCTATCAGAGACCAGCTACTCGTCTGTAGTTGACGAACATGTCAGTCACATTTTGGGCAAAATGACCTGTCAAAGGTCAATTTACTGATCTGTTGATTCACAAGCATGCACTACTTTCCACCTCACCCTAATTTGCATTAAGAATTGTATTATTTAATATGAGTGAGTGAGTATAGTTTTACGCCGCTTTTGGCAATATTCCAGCAATATCACCAGGGGGGACACCAGAGAGGGGCTTCACACATTGTACCCATGTGGGGAATCGAACCCGGGTCTTCGACGTGACGAGCGAACGCTTTACCTACTAGGCTACCCGACTCCCCACCCACCCATCCCACCCCACCCCCTTATTTAATATGGTATGAACATAGGATTTTAAATATTTGGACAGTGATATGTATATATTTACGGTCATATGTGTTTAATGTGACATATCAAGTCTTTGGAAGGCATTTAGAAGTGATAAACATAAGGAAAATAATTTGTTGCTGTCAACTTCTGAATTATGAGGAACACAGCGTTTCAAAGTATATGCTTACTCCTACATCGGGTGAATAACGTCGTGTTTATCATAATAAAGAAGTTGACATCCATAAATTTATACATACATGTCGCGCTGATATGACATCACATAAGCTAATAGCATTAACATCGCCCTGCTGTGATAAAACTTATGTCGTTCTGATACAATAACAATATCACCATGTTATGATAATACTTGTGTTATCTTAATAACTCATAATTATATCCTGTTTTGATAACATTGATGTCATCCTACCCCGATAAAACTTATATTATCCTGCTGGACGTAATAACGTTGATACTATCCTGCTGTGACTAATCACAGTACAATAATCGTCTTACACGCGCACATAAAAAATACAGCACGTTTTAAAATTCACACACCACGCGAGAGTAATGGATGCTGCAGCACCATCATGGTATCGGAAATATCCCGAACCATTTTTCTGAAAGCAAATTTATTTTAACACTCATTTCATAATAGTGAAATACAGCGAACACTTTTAAATAAACAACTATCAGATTGCAATTGCAGGTAAGCAC